TTGTCTTGGCTAAGGCTCTCACGCACGGATCCTCCGAGATTCCGCCACATGCTCAAGCTCTCACCATGTTTTCGTTTTGGAATCGCGAGTCACGTCTTGATTTCCTCGGTGCGTCACCTCCTCTTCTACCCTCCCTCTCCGACTGACCGTGTTTATTCTCAGACAACTTTCAGCCGATTCACGCACATCCTCAAAATAACCCATTCCCCGTCCCGGACTCCCATCCTCATCTCCCGTGTTGCCCATGATACGCCGACAACCCCGCATATGCATGCCGACCGCGTCAACCATCTCCCGCCACAGCTGACTCGGGGAATCGTCGTCGCTCATTGGTTGCGACGGCGGGAGAACTCCGATATCGCGGAGGTCCTTGATTCCGCGTTTATTCCTCCTGCTTTTGTGGTTTTTGTTTACCGCAGAGGCAGCTGAAGCACAGAGACACGTCGCCGAGTCTCCCCTAGCTTGCTTTAGGCCCGTAGCGATCTCAGCGATTTTTTTTCGCGATTTCTTGCAGCCCTTGACGACGTCGATCAAAATTCTATTTACGTCTGTATATTCCCCGTCTCATCGCCTTCCCGCACATTTCGCTTCCTGCCTTCATCACCACTGGGCATCTCCTCCTTCATCGCCGCCCCATCCACCTCATCAACCATGCAATCTCTTCCCCTCCCCCTCACCCCCTCGCTCGCCCTCCTCCTCCTCGCCCTCCCGCACGCCACCCACGCAATGGAAAACGGCATGGACATGTCCATGGACGACGGCATGTCCCTCGCCGCAGGCAACATGCTCCCCTTCCTCCACTTCTCCCCCATCTCCGACACCCTCCTCTTCAACGGCTGGGTGCCGCAGTCGGGCGGCGCGGTCTTCGGCGCGTGCGTCGGGTTCTTTGTGCTCGCACTGGTGGAGCGGTGGTTGGGAGCTGTGAGGGCGATGATGGAGGCGGGGTGGGGAAGGGAGGCGCGGAGGCGGGCGAAGAGCGAGAACGATGCCAAGGGCAAGAGGAGAAAGTTTCTGGGGCTGAGCGCGCCGCCGTTCGTGCCTGCGAATGATATCATGCGAGGGGTCATACACGCTGTACAGGCGGCGCTGGGGTTTGTCTTCATGTTGGTCGTCATGTACGTCTTGTTTCATTCGTTCTTTCTGAGGTCTTTCTGACCGTTCTCTCGCCGCGCCTGGCTGACGTTCCTCACAGGACCTTCCAAGCATCCTACATCATCACCCTCGTCATCGGCCTCGGCGTAGGGGAGATGCTCTTCGGGCGATACGCTGCTGCCGCCGCCGCTTCGAGAGGTCACTGACATGCTTACCACCGTCTAGATGGAATACCGATATCGACTGTCGCTTCTGTACTACCTGAGCTACTTACCAATACGTGTCGTCGCTGTCGATGTTGCCGCAGGCGTCATCATGATACTCGGATTGCTTTCTTGGATGGATATACCACCTGTACCATTTGTATCTTACTTACCTCGGTGTCCTTTACGCACTTACGCCCCGTCGTCTCGCTTTTACTTACGACTCACTCTTGTACGATATCTGCACGCGATACGAAAATATAGACATCGATTGCATCCCAATCTGCCAATCCCACTGCCTACGACGAGGAACGTGCTGTGAGTTCTTGTCGTTGCCATTCTCGACGGACCGACGGATGAGTGAGGGAAGGCAAGACGTGCGCCTATTGGTGTCTCGACTAATACAAGTCGAGGTACAAAGAAGATCCTCTGAATCTCTACGTCATGAATCCGATGTGAATCCACCATACTATTCCCACCTCGTGCATCCACCCGTAAGTAGTATCATAACAAGTTACATCCAATCGTACATCATTCGTCAGTAGCATATACAATCTCATCTATGCAAGTAACGTCGTCCATGAAAACCAAAACCTAAATCGTAAACACCTCCGCACAAAACCTCACCCCTCCCCCTCCCCTCAAATTCTCCGCCACGACCGCATTCCCCGCCTCCCGCACCAGACTCGCAGGGCCCGCAGCGAAGACGGCCGTCGTCTCCCCGTCTTGCGCTCCTCCGTCTTCACTTACTCGTCCTTTTGCAGCTTTCTCCCCTGCTATATCCTCCTCGGATACAGACGCACTCCGCTTCTCCCCGCCCTCCTCCACATCCACATCACACTTAGCACCAAACGACGAGCCGCCCCGAATTAAAGCCCCCAACACCCCCCTCACCTCCGGCCGCCCCTCCCCCTCCACGACGACGCAGTTCGGGATCGCCGGGACCGCGAGCGGGTCGCACAGGCATGTAACGTGGATTTGGATGTGGAGCTCCAGCGTTTGAGGGGGTGACTGAGAGTTGGTGGAGGGGGATGGGGAAGCAGAAGAGGATAAGGAAGCAGCGTTCGCAGCCGCCACCGCCGCAGCGATCTGTTGCAAATACGGCGCGAGGTGCGAGATGGCTCCTGTTCGATCGATACGCGTCAATAACCCCCATAAACACAAGAAAGAGAAAGCTCACCAAACGACCGGACACACCAACACCACACGATCCTCCTCGTCCTCACTTCTCCTCTTCCTCCCCCGTTTACATCCCGCACATACCGCCCCACAATCTCATCCAACACCCCCAGCGCCACCCCCGCACCGCTCCCGCCAGCGACGAGCAGCACGCGCTCGTGCTCCCACGCGCGGAGCGAGGGGCCGCCGTAGGGGCCTTCGAGGATGAGGTGCGCGTGTCTCGATGGTGTTGGGGTGGGAGTGGGCTTCGTGATGCTTTTCTCCAGAGCGGTGTCGGGTTTCGAGGAAGACGCTGCTTCCACGTCCACGTCCGCGTCCCCGCACTCGTCACACCTCTCCTCCTCCTCATCGTCGAAATCAAGATCCTCGCCAGCCGCAGCGTAATCCCACAACGCCCGCGTCCAGTCTCCGCACGCGCGCGCGACGAGGAGGAGGCCGAGGGGGCGTGTGCCCGTGGGGTCCGTTGGGTCTGGGGAGCAACGCAAAGAGGGTTAGTGAGTGAAAGGGAAATGAGGGAAGACGAAGAAGAAGAAGAGAAACGCGGCAAGGGAAACTCGGGGCCGGCCCCTCGTCGGCATACACCCCGTCATTCGATATCGTATGTGCACAAGTCATCCATCCACCCGTATCGTCTACCGGCGCACCCTCCGCGTCACCCAAGATAGCGCACTCATCAACGCCGTAACATCGAGATTGCATCGTCGCGAGCCGATACCTCGTCGCCGCCCCATCGCCCCAAACAACCCAACCTCTCCCTCCAAACCCAACCAAGCAACTACCGCGAACGCAATCGCACAAGAACACACACAGCAACAGGAAAAGGAACACAAACCCACCTCTCAAAACACTCCTCCCCCCACCGGCCGAACACACGCTGAGGGGATGGCTCTCCCAGGCCCGCGCGCCGACGAGCGCACGCAGGGCGATGTGCTGCCCGCCGTGGTGCGGGGTCGCAAGGGGAGCTTGGGGGATGGTTATCTAGAGTACGACGATGGTCAGTTAATCGGCTTGACGAAAGATACGAAAGCGAGACAAGAAATAGGAAAGCGGGAGATATGAGAAAGAGAGAATTCACCAAAACCCAGCCGCCCTCCCTCCGCTCTCCCCGTGCCTCGAGGCGCCCGACGACGACGCGCCAGCGGACGAGGATGCGGAGGAGGAGGTCGGCGGCGTAGAATGCGAGGGGCGGAAATATCCAGGGGGAGGCGTAGATGGTGTGGTAGCACAGCGTGATGAAGAACGCGGGGAAGAGGAGGTAGCTGTGGGTAGGCGTTAGCGAGGTTTCCAGAAACATAAACGAGCCGAAGAAAATCGGAGAGAGAGAGAAAAAACAAAAGGGAGGACAAAGAGGCCACCGACAAGAGAACGAAGAAAGAGATAGAGCAATCGGAATACGAGAATGCACTCACTGCAACACCAAAAAGCCACTCCACCACACCCGCCGCACGGGCGCCACGCTCGTCAGCGCAATCAAACACAGCGCCGCGAGCGCCGCCACCCCGCTCCCCTCCTTCTGCTGCATCAATATAGGCAGATCGAACACGACGTGGTTGTTGATCCAGATACTCCCGTGCACGAGCGCCGCGAGGAGGAGGAGGCGCGCGGACCAACGGTGCACGTAGTTCAGTTTGCTCCAGTCTCCCCCCGGGCCGAGGAGAAATAAGGTGAGCGGGTTGTTCTTCGTGGCGAAGAGAAAGACGGGCGGGAGCTGCGCGAGGGCGAGGAAGCCTGCGCGGTTGGGGTTTTCGAGGAGGGGTGCGCGGAGGATTATACAGAGCAGCGCGAAGAGGGCGTAGATGAGGATTATGAAAACTTTGGTAGAAATTCGTCAGATTCTTTATGTCGAGAAGGAGGCGAAAACGCACTCTGTCCGATATTCAGCCCCAACCCAGGAGGCGTCCACATCCTCAGACTATCCACAGCTACCACCGTCCTCCCCACTCTCCCTACTTTCGCTGCAACTCCCCGCCCCCGCCTCCTCGGCACCCACCCCCACACCCCCCACACACCAACACACACCCCCAGCCCCACAACCCACATAATCGTGAACCGCGTCTGCCACTTCGGGTCTTCTTCGTACGATTGGTAGGGCAGCAGCGACGCGGGGATGATGGGCGGCGCGCCGTGGTCGATTAGCACTTGAGACATCGTGGTTCGTTGGAGTTGTCGACAATGAGAGTAGGCTTGTCGGCAAGAGCGAGGCTTCGTGAATGTCGGCGACGATGCGCTCGGCGTCGAGTAACACGAAGACAACGACAAAGCGAACACGAAGATGAGGCGCCGATCCCACCGCCGAATTAGGCAGGAAACAAAATATTTATTGATCGCATTGATCTGCTTGCTCCTGTTACTCCGTTGTCGCGGTTTATTCTTGAACCCACTGTTGTTATTACTCCTGAAGTCAGTGGATGCGGGGTTGCGATCCCGACTCTGGCGTTAGAGATCGTGTTAAGAATGCTCTGAAGATGGAGACAAAGTAAAAGAGTATAAGGAAGGAAAAACAAAAAGCTTCCGGTTTGCCGAGTATGACCACCGCAGGGGTCGAACCTGCAATCTCCTGATTACGTAGGAGCATTCAATAATCTCATCGTAGTCAGACGCGATGCCATTTCGCCAGGCGGCCATTGATTGGGGCGCTCAGCATAAAATGTGGAGCGAGATGGTGATATTCAGTCAAATATAAGGAGGAATGCAACCACCAATTATGACAGTGAAAAAGCATGTACCTACATCGAATTCTTCTCTTTTTCTGACACTCATCAGCTTGCTACAACCAATCTCTTAAGCAAACGCTCCCATGAGTCCCATCTCCTCATTCGAACTGCTATACCACAGGCTTGAATAGGCTGCTTGCTTCAAGAATCCGAGTGACTGAGTCAATGCAATCTGAGCCCTTCCCGGCTTCTGAAAGAGTCTGAATCCGAGTCCGGTCCCAACTCGGAACTGCAAGCTCTCTATCTCTCACCCGAATTTCCGACTCTGTCTATATCTCTACAGTAAGTTATGATTCTTACAGCATCCAAATGCTAAGTTCAACCCGACGTCCAGTATATATGTAGGTAAGTATCATCTACAGCGAGATCTACAGCCCCGTGCTCATTCAAATTCAGATTTTTGAAACTCAAAGTCATTTCAACACCCTCCGGGATGCGTTCAAATACCCGCCCCGACCGATTCTCGCCAGTATATATACATTGGAGCTCCAAATAAAATCTGAAGCCTCTAGATCTGCTGGCAGACACAGGCAACAACAATGACGGCTCATTTATTTTGACCAGTCGAACTAATCCCTTCTTCGACGCACGAATTACCTAGGTATATCGACCGGTCCGACACTACACCGTTGAACATTCGCTGGAAGTTCGCCGGGGCAAGGTCTTGACCTAAATGAGTATCGGGAGAGTCGATGTGATGCTGAAGGAATTCCAACTCTCCGTCCCTCCTTCTTCACCCGCGCTAGGCTAGGCCGCCGTACGATATCTGCATATCAGACTCAGAGAGTGGAGCAAGAAATGAAGGTACGAGATTCCTACCTTCCATACCTTTGGCGCTTCGAAGCTCAATCGATCCATCCTACCCAGTACTTACGGAACGTAATGCCCTCCCATGCAGCAGGCTATTCAAAAAATGGTATAAATCGTGGACGATTAAGACGGACGCAGCAGGAACAGGATCCAGCTCCCCATTCCGAGATGATCCCGTGACCGCGAAATGACTTGTCTGACAATTTCAAAGTTCAATGAGGCCCCGGCTGACACCGACAAGTGTTGGCGCTCGCGTTATTTTACCGAAGCTCAACGTGCATCACTCTTAATAGCTCTCCTAGCATTCAATCGCGAGATCGTCGGAGCTGCTCTATAACAGCTACGGACTCGATGGGGAGAACATCTCGTTATCGTTTGGGAAGCCATATAGATATACTTAGTATTATGCTTCTGAATGGGATCCAACCCAGAGCCTATTTGAAACTAAGATGAAGAGTAACGTATAAAGAAATCAGTAGCCTGCGTCTTCTGACCTTGTGTGGTACTAGCCTAGGCTAGTAGCCTGAGGACTACTTAGGTTGAGAATAAGAAATGTATCTGTGACTGGCAATCGGACGCTGAACCACGCTGAAAGAGCAATGGACTAGCTCTTGCCAGTCTTCGGTAATGAGGTGCGAACGATAGTAAGGTCAGCTACATTCGGTCTGGGAGCGGAGATGTAACAGAATATTCAGAAGGGAAGAATGATAGCCATACCTTTGCCTCATTCATACCAGGCAAAGTTTACCCTCGATTATCTGCCTCGCAAACTTCTAGATGTACTTACGACCTTGCCCCTTTGGCCCCGTCTCCAACGTGCGTCCTTGAGAAACGCTATAAGAATCGTGGAGGAGCGACGGACTAGGGACAGGATTCGAATCCCAAGTCTTCCCCTTTGCTGATCAGCTGAGATGCGCTTCACCCTCACCGCCCTGATCACAGCCGTCTTGGCGCTGAACGCCCAAGCCACCAACCTCATCGCGTTCAGCGGGGAATCCTGCGACGGAGCCGAAGGCAAAGAGGTCGGGTGCAATGGCGAGTGTATCAGCTTCTCAGGCAGGCATTCGTTTACGGTAAAGATTTTGGTTTCTCGCACCATTCCGATATTCGTGCTCATTATTGCGGCCTTCGCCATTTGGTTGATTAGATATTGGGAGGCAGCGCGAACGTGGTGGCATTTTCGTTTGAAGGCTGCAAAGGGCCGGCCCTCGAACTCGGAATATTGGGAGCGGGAACGTGTACACACGTCAACACTGGGGGGGCCGTCGGGGCCATTCTCTGTGGCTAAATGTGCCAAGTACGTGAGCTTCTTGTCCAGTGCTATTGAAATGAGATTTGACTGACCATCAGCGCTTAGCGCTTAGGAGTGACATTGTTTTGAGTAAACGGATCGAGATATTTAAGACGTCGAGAGCATATGTCTGAATTGTGTTTTCAATTTTTTCCCCTTGTCTAGTACGAAAAACTGTTATCGACATTATGGAGATACGGGATCCCTCCCTTCAGATTAAAGCCATTCAACAGTCTGGAGGCAGATGTATCAGTCCCTCAATGCGATTGCTGGCACAATGAAGACTCACAGCAGGTGGCTTCGACGATATATCGTATGTAACACGATTGATTCCCGCAACCTCGTTCGTAATGCGAGAGGAAATCCGACGCAGTATTTCGGGCGGGAAAACATACCTAAACGGTTGTAAGTGCATGTGAGGAGAACCATAAAACTACTTGAAACACACCAGTCGGCGGTCATGAAGTCCTCCGTCTGCACCGCCCGAAGAGCGATAACCTATGCCGGAAGAATCAAGCCAACGATCACACGAAGAACGGCCCCCAATATACCTGCTCATACGTCCGCGAATCGCCCATAACACCTACCGCTTTGACAGGCAGCAGAACAGCAAACGCCTGCGCAATCTGATCGTAAAGCTCGGCCTTTCGGATTTCTTCTATGTAGATGTTATCTGCTTGTTGCAGGATTTTTACTTGTTCGCGTGTGACGGGGCCGAGGATGCGGATGGCGAGACCGGGGCCTGGGAAGGGGTGTCGTTGGACCAGTGGGGCGGGGATGGAGAGCAGGCGGCCCAAGGCGCGCACTTCATCTGATAAAGACAGGATGAAGAAGGGATTTGCCAGAAGAGAAAGGAGGCGGGTGTTCACCTTTGAATAATTCGCGCAGCGGTTCAATGAGCTTCAGTTTCATGTCCTTGAGTAAACCGCCAACATTGTGATGGGTCTTGATGGTCGCACTCGGCCCCTTGAAGCTGATACTTTCGATAACGTCCGGATATAACGTCCCTTGAAGAAGCCACTCAACGCGACCCTTCTCCGCACCACCCTGTTCCACTTCCCTCGCCGCCCCCGCTTCGATCTTGGCTGCTTCAGCCTCAAAAACATTGATGAAAGTATTACCGATGATCTTTCGCTTTTGCTCGGGATCGTCGACGCCGTCGAGTCGAGATAGGAAGAGATCCGAAGCGTCGACGACGGTAAGGTTGACGCCGAGGTTTTGGTTGAGCATTTCGTTGACTTGTTTCGCTTCGTTGAGGCGGAGGACGCCGTTGTCGACCATTATGGCGTGGAATCTGTAATGGTGTATGAGGAAAAGAGCGTGAAGGGATAGAAACGCACCTGTCCCCGATTGCTTCGTGCATGAGTTTCGCGGCAACGGTGCTATCCACGCCGCCACTGACTGCACCAATCACTCGGCCAGTCGGTCCACATATTTCACGGATGCGTGCAATTTCTTTGCCGATGAACTCTTCCTATGTTATTCTCAGTAACTCATCCAGGCACATTGAAGACAGGGAGAATGTAGCTTACCATCGTCCAATGCGCCCGACACCCACAGATATTCCGTATGAATCGGCCGATGACCTCTTTGCCGCGAGGGGAGTGAGTGACCTCCGGATGGAATTGGATGCCATAAAATGGCTTGGAATTGTGAGCCAGCGCTGCGTAGGGGGCAGTCGCCGTGTATCCGATGACATGGAAATTGGGAGGAGGGGAGGAGAGCTGATCTCCATGGGACATCCACACCTGGATCGTCATTTTGTCACGGAACCAAACGCGTGGACCGAACAGCAAAAATACCTGCATCTCGTCCCCCAGCCCTTCAAACAGCGCGTCCACCGATGCGTTCTCCCCTCCGATCTTGCTAATTTTCACCTGAGCGAAGCCGTATTCACGATGGTCGCATTTTTCTACTGTTCCTTTCAGCTGCCACGCCATTTCCTACGCACGATAAGGAATCCTCTCCCAAATCAAGAAAATCGGTCTGACCTGTAGGCCGTAACATATTCCCAGAATAGGGACGCCGAGGTCGAAAATACTTGGATCGGCATGCGGGGAGTTTTTGTCGTACACCGAATACGGCGAGCCAGATAGAATAATTCCTGGTCGGCAGGGCGGATTTTAAGATCCGGCATAGCGATAAAATTGAAAATTTGAAATCGACTGAACGGCGGCGTACCTTTCGGTTTGAACTTGACGTCTTTCAACTGTGTTGTGCAAGGCATAAGTTCCGCATATACATTATGCTCGCGACATCGTCGTGTGATCAAATGGCTGTACTGCAGAAGGATGAGCGGGAAATTTTCATCCTCCACCTCAAGACGGACCTGGGAGCCAAAATCGAGGATGAGGATTGTATCGAACTGGTCGTGGATCTCCGCCATCTAGAGTTATAGCATCATCAATACGGCGCCAACCGAAGATTCTAGTGTTTTACATTTCGTGGTGGTCGTCAGTAAGCGAGGAAAATTGATCGACTCTCGAGGTCACGCTGTGACTGATGTCTCTTTTCAAGCCGATTGATCCGACTTTGTTGAACCTGGGTTCGAAGAAAGCGTTTGTGCGTCGCGTTTGCGAAATCGAGGCGCATCGGCAGATAACAGTCAATAATGAACTCAACTACTAGTAGACGGTTGGCACTTTCAATTCGGACATTTCAACATTGCAGACGGACAAGAAAGGAGGGAGTCCGACTGGCATTGCAAAAATTTAAAAACTGCCGTGTACGTCTGCGCATCGGACCTCCCGAAGAAAGCGGCATAGAAATCGAGCGTCAGTAGTATGTATCAGAAACTTTCTGACATTT